TTACAGGAGCAACGAGTGTGTGAACCACCTTACAGACACCCAGCTAAGAGAAAGAAGTCCAAGCTAGATTGCAGTGACTTGGTAGCGACTAAGTTATTATTAATATTAGTAGGGAAAGCGATTAAAACTGCGAAATGTTGGCTGCTTTGCGAGTTGAGTTGCGGATATGTCGAAAGGGCTACCAGAATCCGCATCGACAAATCGGTGGATTAGGCAAGCAGGTGAGTGGTTTGCTACTATTTGGAACCACAGACTCATGCTATTCGGTATTAGTCACTTTTTTTTTTGAAAATATGGTTAATCACTTGAAGGTGTGTGCAGCGTAAACGCCAATAAAGTACACCTGCTAACAAAGACGACGTGAATAAAGCAAGTGGCTTCAGAAGGAGCCGATAGGTAACGCGGTCTGCGGCCTCTCGAGTCGAGAGGGCAGCATTTCGCAAAAGGTTACATGGAAGAGGATGATTGGGCACGACATTGCGAAAGTATGCGAGGGAGAACGACCAATGCCTGTGCTGGAGACTTCGGCTGTAAGTTGAAATTGGCGCCATGGGGACATGTGAAAGCGTCACGTGCTTCCCACACCTTCCACCATCGTGGACAACCTGTTGCCAAAGGTAGCCTCGCATCCAGTCGTGCACACTTCAGGCAGCGACGTGCAACTCGGCCTCCTCACCTCCTCCACACTCCTATGTAAGGCGCTCTCCCACAGGCTCCATCCATCTCCCCACCTTCCATGATTGTGTTGGAGGAGGAGAGGAAAGCAGTGTAACGAGGGATTGTGTGAGGTGAAGTGAAGTGGAGTGGCGTGGCATTGTGTGCGGTGGAGTGGAGTGGGGTGGGGTGGGGTGGGGTGGGGCGGCATGGCGCAGAGGGAAATCGACCTCAAGTCGATCCACCCAACAAGACGGCCATTCCACCACCTCCAACACCACGGCATGCGGAGTGAGGTAGGAGGAGACTGTGTAGCCACCTCACACCAAATGCACAGACATGGAGAGGCAGCGTTGGAGGAAATGAGGCACTTGATATGGTCGCAACTCGTCTGCCATATGAACGATGGCATGTGCAAACACAACGATTGCAAGTTTTGGATCAATTCAATGCCACAACCACCACCATCACCACCACCACCAACTCCGCTACACAGGCCAAACCCACTGTGGTGGCGAAATTTGCCTTACTGAAACAAAGTGTGATGCATGACGCAATCGGTGAAGCGAATGACGCAGCCACGACCATAGGGCTAAAGTCCGCGAGACGAGAAGCGCAAGCTGACTCAGTGCCATTCCGAAACGCATGCAGTAGTGCATTCGCGTGTCGCGTCAATAGCGCCGACACAAACCCACCCTCCTGCATGTCCCTCTGCCCGCCCCCACTCGCCTCGTCGCCCACCTCCATCCAAACCAATGCTCCCAACACATCCAACCACCACGGTTGTCCTTCTCACTGCATCAACCCCTCCTCTGCCACCCCAGATGATGAGCACTTCTGTCCTATCAAATCTTGTGGCCCGCATCTTCGCCCTACCAGCAGACACGGTGTTGGGAGAGGATGTGGGTAATTGTCACGTGGTTGGCAATGTCAAGTGTCACCGTAGGTGTTAGGACAGTGGGAGTGGATCAGTCACCCTCCCACCCTATCATCACCACCATCAGTGTTACAGGACTCCACACCACCAAATCAACTCCACTCATACACACACACACACACACACTGCACAGATGGGTGTGTGTGCGGGTGATGGCATAGGTCATGAGTTGACAGCCTCAAATGGGAGTGGATGATGGAGCTTAAGCTTTACTTTGTGAACGCGTTCCCTCCTTGACCTCACCACAAACCAGGGCGCCCTTTTGGTGGCTCGGTTCATGACCTGACGGCTGACTAAAATGACTGACTGACTGACTAACCGACTGGCTGAACGCCACACTTGGTCCTCTCATGTGTGAGTCACCACCACTGATACATCCCCACGTAGCGTCAAATGCCGTTGGTCCACGCTCTTGTCATTGACTCATACCAAATCTCGTCCGTATTCCATTCACACCCTCAGTTTCATTTCATTTCTCTGTTTGTTTCTTTGACTTATACACAAAAACCACTCTTTTATATAATTTGAATTTTTATTATCGAATGCTTTCTGTGAAACGTGTCTACTTTTAGTACTACTTTCTTTTTCGCCTTACCTTCTTCAACCCTCAAAGCCTCCTCACTGTTTCTGTTCTTTTTTGATTGTTTTCTCTTCTCCCTTCTCCCCACCCTTCGGCGGTCTTCAACCCCCCTCGAAGTACTGACAAGTTCCCAAAATGATGACTGGGTTTGAATAGACCGGTATTTTTTATTCATTTGTTTTGTTAAAACTACAATCACATCTTAAATGTTTTCTAACAACTCTATGCATTGTGTAGTCGATTTTGCTGTCGAAGTTCTCCTACTTCTGACACCTTCGAACAAGGCCAAATAGTGATCTCTTCCATTCCATGTGGCGTTCCACTTGCCCTCCTCTTCTTTGCCTTGCCTCAAAATCGCCTCTCTGTTGGTGGGAGAGGCTAGTAAACGTCCAAATTTGACGTGATGCAAAATCGTTTTGTCATTATAGCGGGACTAAGTGTGATGTTCTTTCCCGATTCACACATGTCTATCCCATTTTATGTGTTTGCCAATTATACACAATTAGGCGGACGTATATGGACAGTCTTCCAAAATCCTCTGATGATGATGATGATGATGATGATGATGATGGAATGACTGTAGCATGCTTGTGCGTTGTGTTTTAGCCTCACCTCTGGTCCACAGGACCCAACTTTGCACTTTTATTGTGTATATTCGCTTTTACACCAATTTCATTGTCGCCTTTTGTCTTAGAGGGCAGTCTCGAGGTAGGAAAACACGGTTGGGAATGTGTCACATGCTCCATCACACCGGACTGAAGCTAAACGCAAATGCAGAAATGTGCCATAAGGAGGCAAAAAAGGAGGGCGAATCATTTGATCACGTGGTTTAAAGGAATTTAATAAACAAAATGGCCTCTACGTGTGGCGTGACCTTTTGTTTAGCATAAACGCAATGGTGAACATGAGTTACGGCCAAATTCCGCTTCAAAGTGGTGTAAAAATGCGTGCCCATCTTTACACGGCACCTTAAGACTTGCAATCTTTGGAGTTCGTCTGTTATTTAAATATTTAAATTTGTCAAAAGCGGTACAGTGGGAGGGGCTGGAGATGTGCAATTAAGGAGAAAAGGGGAAGAAGCTGGATTTTGGCTTGGTGTGAAGGCCAGTCCATGCTCCTTATTATCAATCCAAGGTAGTACTAAAGCACTGCCAGTCATGCAGGTAATCCCATACAACCTTCTATTACATTGTTCCAAGGTCTTCTTTTGAGTGACATCCTCGGTGCTCGTCTCAGTACACCTTCCGTGTCAGCCATAACTACATATTCAGTGCTACAAGGAAGAGTCCACAATCAACCCCCGGCTAGTCATCAACAGTGATGAGATTGAGGAGTTGGACATGGCCATCCCAGCAGCTTCAAATAGATCTGAAGTTAAGCTGAGATGAAGAGCAAGAATCTGTTGAACACCTATTGTGTTCCCTGGTCTTAAACAGAGGCATGACAGACAAAATGCAATCAAACACAATCCCGTGTGCATGCGAGTTCGGTAACACACTTTCAAAACGATACCCTTTCAAACGATCCATGGATGATGTCGCCTTTGGCGGTTGATGACAAGCCCGTGAGGCGGAGAATTTCAACTCTAAAATGTGTGTCACAAGTGATGCAGGAAAGTAGAATTTGCTTTCTGTCAATACGAGATTTCAGGTAAGTAGACGGCGAAATTCGGTTGAGTCCGATTGCATTCATTCAAGGCGAAAAGGGAGAGCCAGTGGGTGGCACCAAAGCACCCACATAATAAAAGTCAACGTTAATATACACGAAAAGGAACTTCTTACTACATTGTTTTTAAAAATGGAAAGCTTTTTGGATCTTGATTGTCACCTTAGGCTGTAATGTGGCATGTCAATGGGGAAGATGGGTACATTGTTGATGCGATCTGTCGAATGACTGCAAAGTTGAACGAAAGTATACGCATGATGGTAAACAGGCCACTATTTTTTTGTGCTCCATCCAAATGACGACTTTGAGGTGGCAAATAGCGCATGTCAGAATTGTAATTTTAAAACTGCATAACAGATCGAGGTGTAGTGTTGAAGATTGAACTGTGCGGCTTGTTTATGGTTCCTTCAACATTTAAGCGAAATAAACACGCCAAGGAATATAGACGATGAGGCAAAAAAAAAAAATTTTTTTTCCACTTTGGAAATGCAAGGCATTGATTGAAAGACAGCCTCGTCAATTTGTAGTAGTTGCTAAAGGAAAACTTTCGTGGTATTTAACCTACCGCCCTTTTCGCGTGATTCATCTAATCATGCCTCATCACACAGTGACTCACAATGCAACCTGCTAACGATACATTCTGTCCTTCCGGCAACCCATCGTCTTCGTCACATCTCACCCTTCACACCCTCCCAATTCCAAGTGCCACAATTCGTCGACAGACTATTGAACACGCCTTCTAGGCACACACTGACAGACAAACAGGTGGACTGATAAACACACAAACATTGCACACTGTTGTGGCAGGGAGGGTGGAGGTGGTGAGACCACCGAAATCACTGACACGCGCTCCATCCACTTCAGCATTAAACAGGTCTGAAAGCACCAATTGGATGGAGTCAGAGATTGCGTGTTTAGATGTGCTGGATTTGAAGTTGAGCAGTCTAAAGGGGGAATTTTTGAAGAGGTTTCTGCAATAGACGTTTATCAAAACACCTCCATCTGGTAACAATGGTGAGGTTGTTGTTGGTGTTGGCTGAAATCCGATCTAATTGTGAGGCCAGAGGAGTGATGCTTCAAACTTTTCTCGTCAATGCAGAGATGCATCTGGCACACGGCTGCATTAAATGGACTTCCTTTTTTAGGCAAAGGGCAAATGGCAGCACTTTAGAGATATTTCAACAGCAATACGCGACTCTCCATTAAGAGAGGATATGGAAGTAGGCGGATAAGAAGTCCGTCCGGTGAAAGCTATTATTCAATTACAACTGTCAAAAAAAGTGTGTTGAGAGAGTAAAATGCAGGCGTGAAAAGTATTAAATAAGCCATCATTTAAAGGAATAACAAAAGTTGGGATGAGGAGAAAACATGAAGCATTAACAATTGTCTGGATTTTAAAAAAAGTAGCCACAAAGGAAACAACAAACTCCTCGAAATATCACTATAAAACGAGCCTAACAGAAGACTTGCTCATCTAAATGAAAGTGAAATGTAAACTGAGGGTGTCAACAGAATACGGACGAGATTTGGTATGAGTCAATGACAAGAGCGTGGACCAACGGCATTTGACGCTACGTGGGGATGTATCAGTGGTGGTGACTCACACATGAGAGGACCAAGTGTGGCGTTCAGCCAGTCGGTTAGTTAGTCAGTCAGTCAGTCAGTCAGTCATTTTAGTCAGCCGTCAGGTCATGAACCGAGCCGCCAAAAGGGCGCCCTGGTTTGTGGTGACGTCAAGGTGGGAACGCGTTCACAAAGTAAAGCTTAAGCTCCATCATCCACTCCCATTTGAGGCCATTTTGTGCCATCACCCGCACACACACCCATCTGTGCAGTGTGTGTGTGTGTGTATGAGTGGAGTTGATTTGGCGGTGTGGAGTCCTGCAACACTGATGGTGGTGATGATAGGGTGGGAA